ATATTGGCTCGCTGGTTGAAATCAAAGTATACTCAAGACTTAAGCTTTTTTCTCTATTTCCAGTCTTTTTTTTTTCAGGAGCTACCGAGTGTGTAGTTTGAGTAGGGATGTTTGTTTTCGTAGCCTGTAGGAGATGTCTTTGGAGATTTGTTGGTTAATTCGTATAACAGTGTTTGGGTTTGTTTACCCATTCGTGTGATTTTATTTAAATTCTGTTGAATCGAAGTTAACATGTTTTGTGTAGCGTCTTAGTGCTACATGGAGGAAAAAGTTTGGCGAAGAAGTCGAGGAAGAGAGTTTATACGTTGTTGCAGTTGACCGCGTACTCCAAATGGAAGACTTCATGGAGGTAGAATTGAAAGCTCTTTCTGTTTCTTGTGGTAGTAAATTCTCTCTTATGTTAGTTGATCTCTTTCCAAAAAAAAGAAAAGAATAAGGCTTGTTGTGATCCGAACTCTATTATAAAAACTGTTCCAGGACGGTATATGGGTTGCTTCATCAGATTATAAAAATGCAAGTCCGGATCCTCTTCGAGATGTTGCAGAAGACATTGTCAACCAGATTAACTCTAACAACATGGAAGACATTTTTCGTTTCTGCAACGTATATGTGGATTTGGACTTTGTGGTTAGTATATTCAACATGCTATTCAAATACTTAAAGAATATGTCCCAAGCTAGATAACATGCCAAGTCTTTTACCAATCTCAGGAGCAAAATTAGTAGTTTTACTTCAGAATAGTTATACCTATAAATATGCATGATCATTCAAAATGATACTTTTTGTGCCTCATGCCAGGTTTCAGAAACGAAAATGATATGGATGGATAGGCTTGGATTCGACCTTCGAGTATGGTCACCACGAGGTGTATATGATGTGAGGATTCCATTTCCCATGGAAGTAACAGATGAAAAAGGAGCAAAATCATCTTTTAATGGAATGTCACAGCTCGCTTGGGAAGTAGAGAAAAGCTATTACCCTGCAGATTTCTATAAGGTCAAACTTCTTAAGCAAGTAGTAGGATCATCACACAAGGGAGGACACTATTGACTTCGTTTTTTGTTGTCCCATTCTTCGTTTAACATTCGATGCCAAAATATGGCACTGGCTCTGTTGTATCTCTTGGATAAAGCCAATAGGTGACTATGCAATGGTTCAATTTTCCTGAAATATGTCTTGTAAACTCCATATATGCCCCCCAAATTAGCATTTGTTATG